TTCAACCCATAGCATAGCAGGTATCAGCACCCCATTCCTTTTTGTGGCTGAATAATGTTCCGCTGTGTGGCTGGAGCACATGGTGTTTGCCCACCACTCATGGCTGGGCCCTAGCTGTTGTGGATGGTGCTGCTGTGATCACCCATGAACATGCATTTATGTGAGTCCCTGCTTTCAGTTCTCGTGGTCATATACATGGGAGTGTGTAGATGGCTTTTACTTAGGAGGCCAGGGGCCCTCCCACTTGGTCTCAGACTCTGCCCACATGGTAGGCAGGCGTGTCCTCAGCCAGACCTCCCCTCCAGGCTGCCTGTCCCTGCCCCTCCCCCCTTAACCCCTCAGGCCTCTTTCAGCCACTTGGCTGGCTCCCAGAGCTTGGGCAGCCCTGCCCTGCACCTGTCAGAGCCCACCAATTCCTGAGAAAGGGTGTGCACTCCTGCTAGCCTTTTTGTTAATCCTCACTCAAGTATAATTTTCCCATTGATTTTTAGAGAGAATGGAAGGGAGGGGAAGAGAGGAAGGAAGGAAGGGAGGGAGGGAGCAGAGAGAGAGAGAGAGAGAGAGAAACTTTGATGCCAGAGTTGTTTGCCTCCCCCATGCACTCCTTGGGGCAGGGGATCAAACCTGCAACCCAGCTACATACCCTTGACCAGAAATCAAACCTGAGCCTCTTGGTTTGCAGGCCAATGCTCCAATCATTGAGCAGCACTGGCTAGGGTGACTCCTGCGAACCTTGACCCACAAAGGCAGGGGAGTTGTTTTGTTGATTTTCTGGATATTTTTTATTATGGTAAAATATAGATAACATTTACTATCTTAACCATTTAAAAATATACCTATTTTTAAAATATTGATTTCAGAGAGGAAAGGTGAGGGAGAGAGAAATAGAACATCAATGATGAGAAAGCATCATTGATTAGTCTTTTCCTGCACGCCCCACACTGGGGATCGAGCCCACAACCCAGGTATGTGCCCCGGCCAGGAATTGAACCCTGACCTCCTGGTTCATAGGTCAACACTCAACCACCGAGCCATACTGGCTGGGCTTAACCATTTTTAAATGTACAGTTCAGCAGCATTAAGCACATTCACATTGTTGCGCAACTATCACCGCTATCGGCATCCAGAACTTTTTCGTTGTCCCTGACTGAAACTCTGTCCCCATTAAATATTCAGTGCCTTCCCCTCCCCAGCCCCTGGCAGCCACCATTCTCCTTCCTGTCTCTATGAATTGGTTTCATCCCTACCGGGCTGGTCCGTGACAGAGCAGGATTTAAACCTGGTCTGTGCCGTTCCAACCTCTGTGCTCCTTTTGTTGCACTCTGCTCCTTCCTGTTCTTGAGTTTCCTAAACGTAGCTGAGCCACCCAAGCGATGTCACCATCCCCGTGTTTCCAGCCAAGTGCTGAGGCCTGGTCCCCACAGCGGATCCTGAGCCGGCATTTACTGGGAGCTCCCAGTGGGTCTGGGCTGCATTAAGCCATCAATACTCATGCACTTGCTTGATTCTGCAAAGCATGATGAGGAAGACATCATCGGCCCCATTTGGCAGATGAGGAAATGACAGTTGGGCAAACTGAGGCTTGTGGCTGAGAGCCTGTGTTCGTTCCACGTGGCCGGCAGAAATAACTGCATGTACATCTCCAGTGGTGTCCTGAGCTCTGATTGACAAGTGCTTGGGGAGCAGCCCGGGGTACCAGACATTGGTCCCGCCTTCTGGAGTGGCTGCATTGTGAGCGGATAAAGGCGTTTAATGACGACCACTCGCTGGTGATTGTGTCGGCGGCATCACAAAGAAGTCAGGATGCTGAGGGTAGAGCAGGTTGACTGATCTGATCTGGGAAGATGTCAAGACAGAATAATCCATCTATCTCAAAGCAGTGTCTCACCCTCAGTACTGCTGACCTTTTTGTTCCAGATAATTCCGGGGGGGGGGGGGGCCTGTCCTGTGCTTTGGGGGGTGCTTGGAAGCATGTGTGCGTCTACCCACCAGACGCAGCAGCACCCTCGCCCCCCAGTTATGATAACCAAACGTGCCTCCAGATGTTGCCCAAGTCTCCTGGGGGCAAACCGCTCCTGGCTGAGAATCCTGCCTTAGAGTCTGGTGTGGCGGCCACGGAATGTGCATGGGACTCCTTTAGGGCCACTAGCAAGGCCCCTTCCCGGGGGGCACAGGGCTCCTCCATGGACAGCATGTGTCTCGGGCCCCGGAAGCAGGCTGTGAGCTGGTGCGCTGCTGCCCAAACGTACCAGGCTTGTGGGCGAACATGGGGGTGGGCAAGTGGGGCCTGCTGAAGCCCACTGAAGGCTGCTGGGTTTTCCTCCTCAGAGCAACTGGAATCTCCCCACGTGTTTCAAGCATGGTGTGTGTGTATGAGAGAGAAGGGCAGAGAGGTGGGGGGGAGGGAGAGAGAGGCCTGGATTTACATTTCCAGGGCCACTCGGGGTGCTGAACAAGAAGTGAATCGGGTATGGTCATGCCGCAAAGAAATGGCAAGACCGAGCCCAGCCGGGGGAGCAGGTCCTTTAGGGGAGCACGCCTCTGTCTGTGGTGTGAGTGAGAATGGAGCCCTTTACCTGGTACGTGGAACCAGCTCCTGAGGACAGAAGCAGCATTCTGTGTCATGTTGTGAGGCACAGTTTCCTTAGTGAGTCTTGTACAGCGACCGTGACGGTGGCCTAAGGAAAGCTCACGCCGGCCGAGCAGCCTCCTGAGTGGCCTGTGCCATCCCTGCGTGCTTCCTGGCCCCTGCCTAAGCGGGCAGCACCCCCAGGGACAGAGGTGGTTAATAGAACATTTCTAAGCGAGTCAGGCATGTGGGAGCTGTCGGGGGGGCTGGCGAGAAGGAAAAGAGGAATTTGCTGCCTCTGCTCCGGCTGCAGGAAGAGGGGAGAGGTGAGCCCTTCCTCCTTCCCGGGCCCAACAACCTGGTGGAAAAGGAACAGATGGTTATCGTGTCCTGGGCATAGGAATTCTCAGAATAATTCTGCAAAAGCACTGCATGTTTTCTGGATTCTGAGGTGTTTTTTTTTCTGTGTTATGTCCTCCCATGCCCTCCAGGTGCTTCCTATGCTTCCTCCCAGGCCTGTCAGACACCCAGAGCGGGGCTCCCCTTCCTTGGGCTAGTTCAGAGGCTGTGAGACCCCTGTCTCCATCAGGGACACTCTACAACATGCTGCAAGCTGGTTGAGAATCCCAGGAGTTCAAGGTTCAGGGCGCTAACTATGTAAACTGTTGCCCTGCTCTGTCAGCCTTGTGAGTTCCGATTCTATTAAATAAGGTTGCTTTAAAAACAGATGTGTCGGTATTAGCCAACGACTGGAAACAACCCGAATGTCCAACAACAGCAGAACAGATAAATACATCGTGGTGTACAGTAGTCCCCCTTATCTGCTGGGCATATGTTCCAAGACCCCCAGTGGGTGCCTGAAACCTCAGATAGTACTGAGCCCTATATATACTATGGGGTTTTGTTCTGTACATATATACCCTTTCACTTAAAGAAAGCGCTTCATGACTCTTATTTAAAAAAAATATTTTTACTGATTTCAGAGAAGAAGGGAGATGGAGAGAGTAATAGAAACATCAATGATGAGAGAGAATCATTGATCGGCTGCCTCCTGCACACCCCACACTGGGGATCAAGCCCACAACCTAGGCATATGTCCCGACTGGGAATTGAACCATGACCTCCTAGTTCATAGGTTGACACTCAACCGCTGAGCCACGCCGGCCTGACTTTTTATTTTTATTTAAATTTTTTTTTTAAACATATTTTTTATTTTTATTTTTTTTTAAATATATTTTATTGATTTTTTTTTTTTACAGAGAGGAAGGGAGAGAGATAGAGAGTTAGAAACATCGATGAGAGAGAAACATCGATCAGCTGCCTCCTGCACATCTCCCACTGGGGATGTGCCCGCAACCCAGGTACATGCCCTTGACCGGAATCGAACCTGGGACCTTTCAGTCCGCAGGCCGACGCTCTATCCACTGAGCCAAACCGGTTTCGGCTATTTTAATTTTTATTGCATATCTGAGTTGCCAGCTTCACTACTCTTGTGCATTGGTTATAAAGGTTACTTGAATACAGCACTGCCATACAGTGACAGTGCATCAGATAACCAAGACAGCTGTGACTGAGAGTGAGGAGCGGACACAGCGTGGGTACACGGACAAAGGGATGATTCACATCTCAGGCAGGATGGAGTAGGTGGGGGCAGGATTTCATCACACTACTCGGAACAGAGAGCAGTTTGAAGCTTGTACATTTTTTATTTCTGGACTTCCCTGTTTAGTGTTTTCGGACCACAGTTGACTATGGGTAACTGAAACCATGGATGGGGAGGGGGGCTGCTATGGTTACTCAAGGGAATATTATACAACCATGAGACTTAGCAAACCATTGCTGCATGCGACGGCCTTGGTGACTCTCACTAACACTGAATAGAAGGGAACCAGATGGAAGAGAGTATGTGTCACACGTAACCATTTATATCAACTTCGAACACCAGGAAAACTCATCTACGGCGGCGAGACCATGACGGCCATTCCCCTCCAGGGGGTCAGGTCGCCTGCAGGAGCTCCTGGGGCCGGCTTGTCCGTTTCGTGATTTGGAGGCTGGTTATATGGATCAGTCTGTGACACTTTGATCTGTGCAGTGAAGATATGCCCACTTTCTAATTGTATGTCATACTTTAAAAGGACGCATCCGGCCCTAGCTGGTTTGTCTCCATGGGTAGAGCATCGGCCTGCGGACCAAAAGGTCCGAGGTTCGATTCCGGTCAAGGGCACGTACCTCGGTTGCAGAGCGCATGCAGGAGGCAACCATTCAATCTGTTTCTCTCACATCGATGTTTCTCCCTGTCTTTCCCTCTCTCTTCCACTCTCTCTAAAAGTCCATGGAAAATATCCTCGGGTGAGGATTAACAAAAACACAAACAAAAGATGCATAAGTACAAAACATCAACTTGCTTAACAGCAATCTGCTTTGTTCACAGTTTGATGAACAATGTGAGTTGAAAGCCATCGAGAAGGAGAAGACGGTGGTAGCCCTGCCACCCAAGGAGGCGAGCAAATGCCGCAGAGAGGATTTGGCCGAAGCACTTTACGTAAGAATTGGATTTGCACTTGATGCCAGTTGTGGGAAAGGTTTTAGATGAAGCAGAAAGGAACACAGTGTCCTGAAAGCTGCTTTAGAATTCTGTGCTGACACTTTTGTTATCATTGTTTAAAAAATGCTGTTGCCCTGGCCGGGTGGCTCAGTTGGTTGGAGCGTCATCCCATGCACCGCAGGGTTTCGGGTTCAGTTCCTGGTCAGGACACATACCTAGGTTTCTGGTTCGATTCCCAGTTAGTGCACATGTGGGAGAAACCCATCGATGTTTCTCTCTTACATCTATGTTTCTCTTTCCCTCCCTCCGTCTCCGTCTCCCTCCCTCCCTCTAAGTTGAACTGTTCTGATTTCCTGTGAGGCCCTTACCAGAGGACTGGCAACCCCCCTCTCCCAGATGCTCAATTACTTGTTTCTCTGGATCAGACATAGAGAAGTCATAACACACACAGCTATACAGTAGCACAGCCAGTGGTGAATCCACGTGTTTTGACATCAAAGTTCAAATTCTTTTAAAAAAATATTTATTAATTTCAGAGAGGAAGGGAGGGATAGAAACATCAATGATGAGAGAGAATCTGCAGGGCCCCCTACTGGGAATCGAGCCCACAACCCGGGCATATGCCCTTGACCAGAATCAAACCCAGGACCCTTCAGTCCACAGGCCGATGCTCTATCTGCTGAGCCAAATCGGCTGGGGCCAAAGCTCAAATTCTTAACTACCTCCTCTTCACACCCTTCATCTTTCATCATCTATGACAGGGGTGGGCAAACTTTTTGACTCGAGGGCCACAATGGGTTCTTAAACTGGACCGGAGGGCCGGAACAAAAGCATGGATGGAGTGTTTGTGTGAACTAATATAAATTCAAAGTAAACATCATTACATAAAAGGGTACGGTCTTTTTTTTTTTTTTTAGTTTTATTCATTTCAAACTGGCCGAATCCGGCCCGCGGGCCGTAGTTTGCCCACGGCTGATCTATGATGTTGCCAATTCCTGAAACCAAATTCTTGCATTCTGGGCAGTGCAAAACGAAAAGGAAAGGAAAGGAGAGGAGAGGAGAGGGGAGGGAACACCCCACTCTATAAAACTCTTCCCTGAGGCTGAAGGACGTTGCTTGCTTCACGTGTTTAATTTTCTTTACCTAGAAAACTGAGCAAACATAACGTTGTGTTTGAGTGTTCACTCATGGCCCACCACACTTGGTAAAAACAACAACAAAAACACATTACTAATAAAGGGCACTGGCCACAATTTCAGGGAAGTTGGATGATCATGCTTCATGCCAGGCTTTCCTGGAGAAGAATTCAAAAGTCTGTTTAAATTCAAGTCCTGCTGGTTAGTATTTGGAGAGAGGGAGGAAATATGTTTTCCTTGCCTAGACTTTTTACACCACCTAGAAAGTGAGCTTGATTTTCTTTACTGAAAGGAATCCAGAAATCAATTCAGCGTTCCCTGCCACCTCTACCACCTGGGAGAGCTGTCTTGTCAACTTTTTAAAAACAAGGGTAGCTTTGCTTCAGCCAGAACAGTGCCATTTCCTTACGCAATTACCAACTCAAGTGAACTATTTTAATGGTAGTTTGTGTAAAGAGCTTGAAGCTGTGCCTGGCACAATGCGTGCACGGTACAATAATCTTAGCTAGTATTGTGTCTAGGGACAGGCCTTCTTTCTGTTATTTTACTTTATTTTTAACGGTGGTGAGTGCACAACATAAACCTTCCCATCATAAGAATTTGCAAGTGTACAGCTCAGTGGTGATGAGTACATTCACATTGCTGTGCAACCAATCTCCAGAGCTCATTCACCTTGCACACCCTGCACCCATTGGACAGTCTCTCCCTGTTTCTGCTGCTTCCGCCTTTTGGCTATTGACAACAATGCTGCTATGAACACACGTCACAAATATCTCTTCAGGATCCTCTTCCAACTCTTTTGGTATATCCACACCCAGAAGTGAAATTGCTGGATCGTGTGGTATTCTATTTTGATATTTTGAGGAAGCTCCATATTGTTTTGTTACAGTGGCTGTACCATTTTACATCCCCAATTCCTTTTTTTTCCCCAAGAAGAAAATGTGTGCCTGCATTTCCCTGTGACAGATTTAGGCCGAGAGTTGTTGTTTTCCGCTGTAATTGTAGGGCAGGAGTGCCGTCTGATTGAAAAAGAATCGGGCTGTGGGTTTCCTTCTCTCTCTGCCCTTAGGTGCTTACAGTCTTTGAGGGTGCAAGTGGCTGGGTGCAGAGTGGGGACTCTGTGGCGGGGCTCCTCGGCACTTACTGGCCCGCCAGTGAGCGTGGGCTTGACCGTCTCCCTGCAGGTGGACTTACAGAACGGGCTGTCAGAGTTCTCGGTGACCCAGCGCAGGCTGGTCCATGGCTGGAACGAGTTCGTCGCTGACAACACTGAACCCGTGTGGAAGAAATATCTCGATCAGGTAGGACCATAGGCGTCATTCTCTGCATGTCTAATGGGGAGGGCGGGCAGTCTTTCTTTTTTTAAAAACAAAACAAAACATTTTAAAATAGGTTTTTTATTGATTTTAGAGAGAGAGGAAGGGAGAGGGATGGAGAGAAACATTGATGAGAGAGACACCTATCAGCTGCCTCCTGCACGCCCCCCGCTGGGGATGGAGCCCGCAACCCGGGCATGTGCCCTGACCAGGAATTGAACCGGTAAACTCCTGGTTCATAGGTCAGTGCTCAACCCCTGAGCAACACTGGCTGGGCAGTCTTTCTTTAAATATTCACTGAGGGTGTCCTTGGACCAGTCCCAGGGCGTGGGGCATCTGTACGACAAGAATAAAAAAGGCTCTCCTGCACTCAGGCTGCTCTCAGCCAGCAGGAGGGACAGCCACGAGGCTTCACTAACTCCCCAGGCAGCCATGATCAGGAACAGCAGTTGCTACATTCACAGAGGGTTTTCCACCTACTGGGCACCATGCTAGCTGAGTGAGTAAACATTAACTGACTTTATCTTCCTCCTAATCTCCATTTTGAGATGAGGAGGGTGAATACAAAGAAATGGAGATATCTCCAGACTGTGTAAGGGTGCCAGATTTAGCAAATAGAGACAGAATGTCCTGTTAAATTTGAATTTTAGAGGAACAAAAAACAATATTTTAGTATAAGTAGATCCCAAATGGTGCATGGGACCTACATCTACAAAAAAAAAAAGTTTTTTGTTTATCTGAAATTCCGATCTTACTGGGTGCCCTATTGTGTATCTGGCAACTGGAGCCTAAAGTCACTCAGCAGTAAGTGCAATGCTGGGCCGTGAGCCAGGCACCTAGCTGCAGGGCCCCTGCCCCCTTAGCCGCTGCCGTTGGTGCAGGCAGGGTGCTGAATGGAGGGCGCACAAATCAAATGCCTGGAAACCACTGGGAAGAGGAAAGAAAAATTGGAAATGGACATGGCTGCAAGTTCCAGTTTAGAAGTTAAGATCCCCATCGCCCACCCGGCACCAGCTCAGAAAGCCCCAGTTAGCAGGCAAATTTTCCCAGATACCTGAAGGCATTCAGGCTGCCTTGGTTTCTTCTCCCTGGCCTTTTGCACCCCTTCTCCCATCCCTGACACCTGCCCCTCCTAACCCTAATCCCCGCCCCACCCCCATCCAGGCTTCAGCTGTGTTCTATTGGCTCAGCATTTAAAGCTTCCTTGATTGGTTGGTTCAGGGACCAATCAGAGCACTCCTTGCAGCATCCTCACACTCTTCTCCAGTCCCCACCCTGCTCATTGGTTGGTTCTCAGTGCACTGGGATGCCATTCACTGATGCATGTTGGCAGCAAAATGGTCTTCTGCGCGCAGGTGGCTCTGGCTGCCCAGAAGCTTCCTGGAACCCCGGTGTTGGAAGGAGGTAGTGGAGGTTCCTGGAAGTTGGGGTTCAGGGAAGGAGGCGGACACACTGGCTGTGGGGCACATTTTCCTCCTACAGTCGGGCCTCCTCAGTTCTGCCCTGCCTGCCCCTTCCACTAGGACACCCCGCCCCGCCCCCCGTAGTTCCCCAGCCACCCTCCTTCCTGTCTCTGCCCTGTCAACCTCACACCAAAGGTTCGCCTCCAGCCAGGGCCTTTCCAGAAATAAAATCTCTTCACTTTCTAAGAGTGGGAATGTTTATTCATCTCAACCTTGTCTGTCCCTGGTCCATCGGTGGGAGTCCTGGAAGGCAGTTCCTTTTGCACCCCTTCTCCCATCCCTGACACCTGCCTCTCCTAACCCTAATCCCCACCTGAGGCCCTGTTCCACCCCCACCCCCTTGCTGAGTACAGAAAGCCCATCTGCCTCACTGAGTAACTCTTCACACTCGCTGAGCACCTGCCGTGTGCCAGACGCTGTGCTTCTCCTGTCGGTCTCCTCCAGTAACGGGGAACTCACCACTTCACAAGGCAGCCCTGCCGCTCCAACTCAGGAGACTCGCCATGTGGAATTCCACCTGAGCATGACCCAAGACATGCCGCCCTGGAAGCATGAGGCGAAAGTGTACTAGAGTCAGGCTCTCAGGGTTCAAATCCCGCTTTCCAGCCTTGTGACTTTAAGCAAGTTCTTGACCTTCCTTGAGCCTCAATTTTCCCCATCTCGAAAATGGGACTAATAAACACTGTTCCGAGTTTTCCATAAGAAGAAGCTTAGCACATACTGAGTTGCTCAATAAAGGTTGTCTTGTATCTATAAGTTGGCCCTGATTGGAGCGTAGCAATTAAGTGCACAGGTTAAGGAGCTAAATGGATCCTGGGGAAATTCAGTTTCTCTCAGAGCCTCTGGTTGCTTCCTTATCAAGCAGGAGTAATAACAGGTACGTGTGCCCAATAAATGGTGGTTGTTTTTATTGTTGCTGTTTGTCCAGTGTGTTACCAGCTCCCCTGCACAGTGAGGTTCCAACAAGCCCCTCGCTGCCTCTCCCTGACCGTGTGGGCTTAGAAGGGGCTCCAGGAGCCAGGCAGAGTCTGGTCACTCACGGCCAGGGCAGCACTGGTGGCACGTGGGCTGTGCTTCCCATCGGCTCTCTCACCTGTTTGCTGTGTGACCCCCGGAAGCCAATGCCAATGAAAGTGCAGTGGGGGCATGACAGGAGGGGACCGTTGGATGGCGGGGGTCTCTCTCCCCCAGCCCTGGGTCACTGTAGCTGTTGGCTTGGAAGCCTGGCTCTGGGTAAGGACCCAGGTCACACGCTGCTGCACAGTGAGAAGCCCAGCGAAGAACCCACCTGCCCTGCTTTCATCTTTCAGTTTAAGAACCCGCTGATCCTGCTGCTGCTGGCCTCGGCCTTGGTGAGCATCCTCACGAAGAACTATGAGGACGCCATCAGTATCACCGTGGTGAGTGCACGGCGCCCGGGCAGCACCAGCCCCCAGACCCGCTCGCTGCCCAGGGGCTTGCCAGGGTTTGCTTGCTTACTGTGCAAGGAAAACAGAGTTTGGCTGTAGAGAAAAAAAGAGAATGCAGCAGAAAGAAAGAGAAGCAAATCCACGTCCTTCTCTGCCCACGTGGGGGTGTCGGTTTATGTGGCCATCGCTCCGTTGGTGGATGCCCAGGTGCTTCTGTTCTTTGCCGTTTGGAACACTGTGGCAAGGAGTTCCTCTCCCATGACCCGGATGGAATTGCTCGTGTGCAGCCGTAGCCAGTTTGGCTCAGTGGAAAGAGCATCGGCCTGAGGACTGGAGGGTCCTGGGTTTGATTCCGGTCAAGGGCACATGCCCAGCTTGTGGGCTCCCAGTAGGGAGCATGCAGGAGGCAGCCAGTCAGTGATTCTCTCTCATCGTTGATGTTTCTATCTCTCTCTCCCTCTCCCTCCCTCGCTGAAGTCAATAAAAAAAATATATATATTTTTAAAAAGAGTAATTGTTTGTAATCTGTTACCTAGAGAGAACCACTGAGCGCCTAAAAATTTTTTTTTTTTAATTTAGGTGAAAAGTCACATAATAAAAAAATCAACCATCTTAAAGTGAACAATGCAGTGCGTGTCGTACATGCGCAATGTTGTATGGCCACCATCTCTATCTAGTTCTAAAACATTTTCATTGCCCTCAAAGGGAACCCCATACCCATTATAGTCGCCCCCCATCTCCCCTCCTCGGCCCCTGGCAACCACCAGTCTGCTTTGTGTCTCTGTGGAGTCCCCAATCCTGGATATTTTATGCGAATGTAACCACGCAATATGTGACCTCATGTCTGGCTTCTGCCGAACCCCTTTTGATGGATGTCATTCCGGCTTTCTCTATCTGTCACGCACTCCCAAAATACAAACACGGACTCACTCCACACCGTGAAATCTGCTGCTTCGGTTTAAAAGGCTGGGGTTAGAGCCACACCTTCTGATGTGGAACCTTCTGATGTGGAATGGTGTTTACAGGATGCTGTTGAGTGAAAAGGCAGTTTGTAAAAGAATATGTGTACACTATAGGACCCTGTGTGATAAGTGTGTCTATGCAGAAAAATCTAAAGGGGTACCCCACAACGTGAACCTCTCATGGTAGGACTTGGGGTGATTTGGCTGCTCTCTTCTGGCTTATCTCTTTTCTACGTTTCTGCACAGTACACTTATTTTGCAAACAAAAAAGAACTATATTTTGAAAGATGATGACCTCCCCTCACTCCCTGGACTCATGCGCTGTGCAGCCGGTGTTAACGCCCCTCCCGTTTGCTCCTTAGGCCGTGCTGATCGTGGTCACTGTCGCCTTCATCCAGGTGTGTATTTATTTCCCGAGGCCCCGGTTGGGGTGACCAGGCGTGGCGGGAGCTCTGTGGAATCCCCACCTTTGAAAAGCATGTTTGATGTGCTTCCTGCCAGGAGTACAGGTCGGAGAAATCTCTGGAAGAGCTGACCAAGCTGGTACCTCCCGAGTGTAACTGGTAAGTCAGAGACCCCTGGGACTTTTTGGTTCATCAGGGGAGCCAGTGGGCTGGTGAGATTGGCACACTTTGTATCCCTTGTAGGGTGACATGGGAAACCATGTTGTACTGGGGTTCTGGGCTGGTCATCCTGCCAGTGGGTTACCTGAGTCGTTGGGCGTGTCATTCGACTTCTCTGGGCTTCCAGTCTGTCATTTGCATCTAGTCAGGGTGCTTGGCCTGGGGGCCACGGATGATGGAAATGGCTCAGGAAGAGGGTGCCCCTGAAACCCGTCGTACACTGTGCAAAACTGCGTTTTCCCAAAAGAGCGTTCAGAGGTTTCATTGGATTCTCAAAGGGTGGACTCAAGAGGCTGAGATGCGGGGCTTTAACAAGCCGAGGCATCAGGACATGGGTTGAAGGGTGGGACGACATGGGAATGAATTCCAGGGAGTTGGTTAGCAGCCCACCAGCCTCTCTCCTGTCCAGGCATTTCCACGTTGCTGCTTGTGATCGCGCAGCCCTTACCAACGATATTTAAAAAGGAAAAAGACAAAAATATCTGGCAGTACCTCGTGGGCATTTCTGCTTAGCACAGTGTTGTACAGTAGAACTTTCTGGAGTGTTCTGTAATCTGTGCTGTCCAGTACATGTCCAGTCAAATATGGTTACTGAGGATTTACAATGTGGCAGAGGTATTTACAATGTGACCTGAGGTATTTTGGAAGGACTTTAGCATACAATACCTATTTTCTGAAGGATAATTCTGGGGAAAGAACCTTAGCATATATTGAGTGTATATGGCACCATTGAGCCACAGGGCTGGCGGATAGCAAGATCTTGTGAAATAGAGTTCCACCTCTCAAGGAATCAGGAGAGTGTGTGTGTGTGTGTGTGTGTGTGTGTGTGTGTGTGTGTGTGTGTAACATAGGCAGAGAATAATGAATAACGAAATAGAGACAAAAAGGCTATGTGGAGGCACGAGGGAGGATGAGTCAATGCTGGAAGGGTCATTGGGGACAGTAAAAATGTCTGGGCTTAATGAGGGATGAATAAGGCTGTCAGAAATCCAGGTGTGTGATGTGTGGTCTAATCCCGTGAGCAAAGGGAAGCGTAAATGATTGATGTGGTTTGATGTGATATTAAGTTTAAATATCAAGTCTTGACCTTTTAGGTGAATAGATACATTATTGATGTCCTCAGAAGTTTTGCTCCTAAAAGACATTTTATTCTCAGGAACAGCGGTGGCAGGCAGCCTGGCAGAGTTGAAAGAGCATCGTAGATATGCAGCCTCACTCTCTGGGTCTCCAAGGCCTGTTTTACAAATTAGGAGAAACACCTGCCATGCAGACCCTTCCTGCATTACCTCCACCCTTTGTGCAGCCATTAAATATTTATTGAGCACCTACTGTGTGCTGGGAAAAATAGTGCTGGGTTATAACGGTGAACATGATTAGGTGCGTTAAAGCCAACAAGACCCCTCAACACCCAAAGCCCCACAAAAACCAAACCAAACAAACAAAAATCCCTGCAGAGGTACAGTGGTGGCTGGTGGAGGAGTGGGGAGGCCAGGCCCCCCGATCGAACATTTGAGGCCCGAGAAAGATAAGGAGCCAGCCCTGGGAACAGCTGAGGGAACAGCCGCCGTGTATCTGATAGGTGATCTTGGCTACAAGGAACAGAAAACTCAACTGCACAAACCACAAGGAAACTGTGTTGTCTCATGGCAAGGGGCCTGAGGGGGGCGGGCAGTGGGGTTAATTAATTGAAGATATTGGCACCAAGGACCTGGTCGTCTTAATGTCTTTACTCTGCCATCCTCAGCTTGTGGACTGTTCTCTGGCTGGTTCTCCTCATGGTCCTAGAGGCTGCAACAGCTCCAGCATCACAGCCAGACATGAAGGATCCAACAGGAGACGAGGCTGTGTGTGTGTGTGTGTGTGTGTGTGTGTGTGTTTACAGGTGCATGAGCCCCATCAGAATGTCCACTCATGTCTCAAAGGCCAGTGTTACAAAACATGCCTGTGCCTAAGCCAATCGTGGGCAGGGGGAGGGATCACTCCGGTGATCTCAGCCAGTCAGGACCCCATCCCTGGAGCACACAGTTGTGGGGGGAAGGGTAGACACCGGAACAAGGTTGAATTCTGTTATCAAGGAGGAGGGGAATGCCTGCTCCAGCATTCAAGGTCACCAATGACCTTGAGACTAGAAAGAGCTGGGTGTGTTCAGGGGCTGGCCGGTGTGAGGAGGAGACGAATCTGGATCGAGAGGGCCTTAGCAGGGCTTTTGGGTTTGATTGCAAGGTCATCAGAAGAAGCCACTGGAGGGGTTTGGATTTTGGTGCTCCTAAGAGCTTTTCTGCTGTGTGCAGGGATGAGTTAAAAGGAAGGCCAGAGGGGGAGACAGGGAGTCCAGCTGGGGAGGCCACGGGAGGAGGGCCAGTGTGTGGAAGGAATTGCAATTTGCAACCTGTGCACCAGAAAGTACGTCCATTGTCTAGAGGGGGGATGGGCCCTTGAGCAATGGGCCCTGGCCCTGTGGGAGGGCCGGTCCTGGGCTGCCTCGGGACACTTCAGATGCTCCTCTGGGGTCCTGACGAAGGCTCTTCCCATCCCTGAGTTTCTCAAGACGGGCTCTGCACACCCCGGTGGTGTCTCCTCTGAGGACACAAACTACTGCCTCCATTAAGGAAGCTTTAGCACCACTGACCTAGAGCTGCAGGCGCTGGAGGCCGTGTGGCCCAGCCTGGTGTCCAAACAGGGGAAGCTCCGCACTTCAGACAAGGACCAGGGTCTCCCAGAAGCCACACACGCTCCCCACACATCTCCTAGGATACATGAGTTTAAAAAATAACAACACCGCAAAGGTTTGTCCATACCTGAAAGGGAAAGTGTTTCCATCATCTTTGCTCACATTTATCAAAGTGCATAAAACGGGGATGTTAACATGCGTGCTTTGGCTTTTTACTGTTTCAAATGCAGCATCAGAGAAGGAAAGCTCCAGCACCTGCTGGCACGAGACCTGGTTCCCGGGGACATCGTGTCTCTCTCCATCGGAGACCGGATCCCGGCAGACATCCGTCTCACTGAGGTGAGGGTCCCAGGCCCTGGTCGGTGGGATATGCAGACGCTTAGCTTCTCGGAGGCGGGCATTCTCTCTCACACACACCCGTGCACACACACGTGTACGCGCACATGTGCACACATGCACCAAACAAGCCAGGGAGTTGGCAAACAAGCTGATTTTAAGCACAAAGCTCCTCAAGTTGTATGTCACAAATCAAGTACTCTCATTTTAGCTATGAGCCTAACACATTGTGGTTGCTGACTCTAGTTTATACAGACGGCAGCAGCAAATTGAACCAGGGTGGGGTTGAGGAATGAGGCAAGAGTTCCTTCCAGAAACAGCCGCACTGATGTCAGAAAGAGTGATAGCAACTGCTGAGGAACGAGAAGGGAACCAGACCGATGCAGACATAAAAAGTAGCACAAGCTTTTTACGGTTGCTCCGTTTGGGGACATGGGGTGTAGGCAAGCTATTTCCCTAACCTTTGTGGGTGCCAGGGTGCCACAGCTTCACAGAACAATACCTGAGGCTCCGAGAGCAAAGGTGAAATCAAGTTCAGAGGGATCTGTTGATGGGAGTAATCTATTTTATGACTCTCTCCAATAATGCCTAAGAATTGTTCAAAGCGTTTAGTGATAGAGGATTAAGCACAGGTTATGTGCCCGATTTATTTATTTTCTCAGGAATTGGAGGGTTAATAGCAGGCTGTTAAAAGGTGGTGTGAAGGGCGGGGGACGGAGATAGGTGAGGAGGCCAGGAGCCAACTCCTGGGCCCTGCGTTTACAACGTGCTGGCCAGGCTTTGAAGTCGAGGCAGGGCCAGCGGGCCACTCAGGCTTCTCTGCCTCTCTGTTCTGACTTTCAGATCTCCGGGCAGGGCAGGGACCAGGCGGGGGG